TTTTATTATTAAAAAAAGATAAAATAAAAAACAGTAAATCCATTAGGTTAAGATTTTTAATTCTAAACTTTAAAACTACATATAAAAAATATAACGATACAATTAAAGTCTTATAATGGACTTTTATATGATCTAGGCTTAATTGTTGGAATGATATCGAAAAAACTAATTAAAATTTTTGATAATAAAAATCCGATAGCACATGCAATTCTAATTGAATTTTTTTTTTTTTCAATTCCTAAAGAACTGTATCTAGATAGACGTATGTATATGTTTCTTATTCTTATCCTTTAATCAGCAATGTCATCTGTTTCTTTTTTTTTTGTCTTTTTTTTCGAGGTATTGCTTGGTTCGCTTTTATAACTTTGTTGCACGATCAGTTATTCTTATGTATATACGTAGAGATGTATGTAAACTTTTATCCTCCTTTAAGATTTCTTGTTAAGACAAGCGAAACCCGTTTATGTTTTCTGCGGAATTTATTTATACTTCGAAGTAATTCTGCCTTATGCAGCGCTGAAAATTCGTAGTATCTTTTGTGTTGCGGCTTGCCTGGCCTGCCTGCTTGCATGCAACATTTAAGTTCTCTTTTATTTTTTCAGAAATAGAATTTGAAATAAAAAGGGAAATATCTTGTTACTGGAGTTTCTCGTTGAACTTGTTTTATTCTTTTTTTTTTTTTTCTTTCATACAAAGATACAAATATATTTGAACTCGTTTTGAAGTGTATATTTGTATGCAACTCAGCTCACATTTTAGTTATATTTCCAGATGTCTGCACGTTTTTAGTTACTTTTTTAAATGCACATTTTAATAAAGAATATTTCAGATACTATATATTAAATATTTTTTAATTTCAATGAGAAAATAAATTTTAATTCTTTTCTTATATTATTTATTTTAACTTTTAATACGAAAAGTATGTATTTGATGAAAATATTAAATTTAAATAATAATATATATATAATATATATATGTGTGAAACTTATTAAACATATGTAACATTAAATGTTTATACAGTCTGTTTCTATTTAATGTTTTTGTTAATGTTCTTAGTTTTTTTGTCCAGTTAGCAAGAACTTTCTTCAGTACTACTTCAAAGTGCCTTGGTACATCCGCATAAACGACATGCTAAGAGTTCTTAGAATAGACCCGATCAAAAAATACATAACAAACAGAGCCCTGAAGTTATATGCGAAAACTAGCAGGCTATCTTACTTAGCACTATCTAATCTTAGAGTAATCACTCTTCGTACGGGGAGGTACGCAGATCTTAGATCAATCACTGAATAATCATGAAGCTTATAAGGAATACATAAATTAGTCAATGAGATGGGTGGGACCCTGTAGTACCCCCAGCTATCAAAGAGTAAGAGTGCCCAGTTGCTCTGACTCGAAAAAAGGATCAACATACATACTTAAATATAAAAATTTAAAATTGTCCATAAATATGAATTAAATATTTTTCAAAGAATATTTAAAAAGTAAGTGTTCTTAAAAAAGACAATTTAAACCAAGAGATATTTGCACCTCACTGCCCCAATCTGATATAGTTTTATAACATAATTGAGTATATCTAACAAAAGTTGTGACGCTGAAATGCAAAATCTATTTACAAAAAAAAAATTTTTCAACACAAACGATGTCTTTTAGTGTACTATAGCAATATAATAAACTATCTATTACAAAAGAATGATCAAAACTTTGTAAGCTAATCAAACTATTTCTGTATAAGGTATATTAACAAGAATCTGCTATAAGTCCACTTAGACTTAGTAATGAGTACATCTGCAGTCCCATTTAAAATGATTCTTTTTGTATAAATTAAGTTTTTAAAAACCTGTTGCATATTGTTAAATGATTTTCTGCACAAAAATGTACCTATGAAATTAATATAACTTTAAGTGTTGTCCATTATATTTGCTCATATATTTGCTTTTGTTGTGTATCTTATTGCATTATTATTTGCGAAAATAACTTCAACCACCACTTAACTGACATTGTTTTATTTGTTCCCTCTTGTGTGCTACACAATATCGACTACAATAGTAGGGGATGTTCAAGATTACTAAATAAGAACGAATAATTGTTCCACATAGTTGAATACATAAACATAGTTTTGACGCAAGAGGTAATACCACCTGCCTTTCCACATAATATGTATACAAAAACAATATCTTACCGTCTTGAGAGCAATACTTAACATGTCTTTTTCTGTTTTTCGTTCTGTTTTCTTACTATTGTTCTGGAATTTTGTTCTCTAAATTAATTTCTTTTATTTTCTGTTTTAAAGAGCCTTAGTTTCTTATTTTGTTCTTTGCGCTTTTATATATTCATATCGACACTGTTTAAATAAAGATACTATTTAAAATTTAAAATAACAATTCTTTCAATCATTAGTAATTATAATTAATAATAATTATTATTATAATTAATTGTGAGGTAAATTGAAGTGGTAGCCGTGTTTTTAAAGCTCACTTGAGTTCAAATAATGACCTCTTGACTACGACAGATCTGTAGAAAGAACCAATGTGTTCAGTGTACGAACAAATGTGAAAGACACGTGTATGAACAATTGTGAAAGACACGTCTCCTCCTATTCAAGTAAAAGTGAACCAATTTAACAAATCTATAAACTTGGCCATGGTTTTAACTTTACAGGATGACAGCTCTGTCATAAGTTTCGGTAATTTCAAATCCTCTCCTAGTCAATGATGCTAAACACAAATGCTACGATCTATTAAACTAAAACGATAACATATATATTTTGTTTTTATTTTGAACCCTGAAACTCTTCCGGTATGAACCCTTGGAAAAGATAATCGAATTATGACTTGTAAGAGTGAACTTGGAATGACTGAGATTACAGTAATCTTCAGTCCATTGCTATTACACATGTGTTAGAGTAATGAATTTATCAGACTACATCTATAGAATAATAGATATATCAGACTATATTTGTAGAAAAATAAATACGTTAGACTACATCTACGAGTATAGAATAGTAGGATATATCATACTACATCTCATAGAATAATAGATATATATGAGTAAAGAATCTATAGAATAATATAGAACATATCTATAATTCTATATAGATTAGTATATATAATATAAAGTAATAGAATACAAACCTCAAAGGTAGGTTCAAGAAAAAAAATCTGACTATTGAAACAGATAAAAAACGAATCAAAAAAGAAAAGAAATATTTGAGATATTAGAATAATGACAATTTTATACGGTCAAATAATTTCTATAGTAAAATCAAAAAAGTGGAGTGGCGGTTTTGTACCCACCTGTACCCACCACCCACTTGACCTCAAATAATACCCTGTTAATGGTACCTTGTATTAGCGTTATTCATACGCAGACCAGAAGGGTTCACAAGAAGAACGCAGTGGTCAGGGTACAAAAAAACGATGAAAAACAAGAAAATAGATATAGTAGCTTAATTAAATAATTAATTGATAAGACTATATATCACTATATACCCTCTTTATCGGTATATAAAATCGTTTTATTAATTCGTAGTAATAAATTCTAAATAATAATTTGCATTCCAATGTATTTATTCATTATTTTTTTATTTCCCTTACCAACTCTAATAAATAAAGCATCAATAAAAATTTAAAATCCATGTTTTATACATACACACATGCATGTATTTTCATTCATTGTAACAAATAATGAAATCCTACGTCACATTGTTACGTCACAGACTATTTAATATGTATGTAAGAAAATTTCCTTGTGAATTTTATTGTTAATAATAAGTAGAATTCATATAAAATTAATGCTTGTACAAATTTTGTTAATCGCATCATTTTTCACACGAAACGACAGCGACGATGATGACGATGACGACGCCGACGACGACGACAACAACCCTACACACTATGATGTGTGGGGTTTTTGTTGTTGTATGTGTGCTAATGCGGCCGCCTGCTACCGCATTATGCGTTCGTGTAGCAGCGATATGCATAAAATGAATTTTTTTATATTTTTTGTTGTTTATTATTTAAATTTTTGTTTACGGAAGCGCAACAGTTGCTCAATTTTTTTCTCCTTTTGTACTCGTTTATATTGCAAAGACCCATTTTCTTGCTGTTAAGTTGTAAAAAAGAAATTCTGCTGCCGCTTGCTTTTGCTTCTTCTGTTGTTTTGTTGTTTATTTTATATTTTTATTTTATATTGTCGGTGGAACTTTTTAATATTGTATTTTGGCGCAAAATTTTTTAAGCTATTATAGGTTTCTTTTTTGCTAAAGAGTGATTGTTTGTTTGTTTTGTATACATGTGTTGTGTTAGCATTTATTTTGTGGATTTAGTTAGATTTTCTTTTTTGTTCTTTTAAGTTGTGTTCTTTTTTTTTTTTTTGTTTTTCTGGTGTTTGTTGTGTTATTACAATTTAGTATATGACAGCGGTTTAAGGTTTTACCATTCCTTTTTTTTTATTTCGCTATTTTGTTGGAGTTCGTACATATATAAATATACTGCCATCATTTAAGTCATTTAGATTATTTTGCTGCTGCAAATTCTTATGAGCATGTTTTACTACGAGCATGTTTTAATGGTACTTCCTAACTAGCTGACCAAAAGTCATCTATCAGTTTGTTCACATATTTGCCAAAACAGAAAAGTGAATTTGTTTGACTCATTCATTCATCGATTTCGTCGTCGCTTACTAATATCAATGCGAAAAAAAGAATAAAAAAGTAATACAGCAGCACCAGCAACAGCAACAATACTATTAACAGAGCAGTAGCAGTAGCAGAACAGAACAGAGCAGAGCAGTTAAAGTATGATTTTATGAATGAATAGTGAGACTTAGGAATTACCTACGTTACATTACTACATACCAACATACACACATATTGAAGGTATTTACGTACATTTCCAAACAAATATTTATAAATATGTACGTGAATGCTATTGTGTGTTTTGTCGCTGTACTGCTGCTTGTTGTGTGGACGACGGCGCCAAAACGCATGTATTAAGTTTTGTCGTGTAGTAATGGGGTGATATACTTATTATTATAAGTGTTTTGTGTATTGTTATTGGTGTTGTTGATTTTGTTTTGTTTTGCTTTGCTTTGCTTCAGTTTGCGTTGTTCTGTAGAAAAAAAGCGCAGGCAGGCATTCTCATTTTGCTGCTCACTCCACTCATCGCTGCTTCCTCCATGCTAGCATATTTATAAAATTGTATTATGATGTTAATTTGCAAATAAATGCTTAGGGACATATACACATACGTGCATAATAGTTGTTATGTATGTATGTATGTAATATAGCTATATTATTGTTTGTTTTGTTTAGACAATTTTTGTCCTATTAAAATTAATATTATTGGCGTCATATTGTCTGCCTCTTGTAATTAAAGACTAAATAATTGTTTCAGCAACAGTTGGTGTTCTTTTTTTTAATTTTTATTTTGTTTTGATATGGTTATTCTATTTTTATTTTGTTTTATACTTTGTTTTATACTTTGTTTTCCTGAATTATTAACGTTGATTTTGTAATGTGGTTGTTTTTTATTAGTTTGTTATAGTATCAAATTATATATATTTTTTTTTATTATAATGCACCATAAAGTAAAAGCTTTCCACGTTCGATCTCTTGTCAATCATATTCTTTACTCGTAGGTCAAGTGTTTTGAACAGAGTAGTTAATGCTTTTTTTTTTGCGAAAATTGCCGAGTTCCTGCCAAAATGTTCATACAATCTTAAATAAATCTAATAAATTTACAGTCTAACTTAACGGTTGAATAGTCTAAACACTTATTTAGAGTAAGTTAAACTACATAGTTTCATATGCAACAATAATAGACTTAAAATGCTATCCGAAATTAGTTTTCTAAGTAAGATCTTAGCCATCTTGGTGTATGTCCACCAATAAGATCAATATCCAAAAGATGAATATCAGGAAATCTTGACAAATTCTTCTACCTACCCTGCAGTTGCCCGAAAGCTCTCTTTAGCCAAGGTACACATGTAAGTTGGACACTGATACACCTAGCTATCTCGTTAAGAAATGCTAGGTAATCTCGAATTTTTAAATATAAAGCTAAAGCGCTTACTAGAGATTTAATAATACATTGGCTATCCGAGAAGATTACAATATTTACATTGAAGATCTTGTTGCATAGAACTCATTTTGCTGCTTAGTGAATCGCGATTACTTCTGACTGAAAGACACTACAATATTTCAGTAGTTGAACTATAGTTGACTCTTACATCTATTTTGTAGCAAATTTGTTTTATTTTACTTGAACTTGTGGTCATTGGTATTGTGTAACTTACATTCAATATCATCTTTTATAATCTTGAACAATTAAATGGTATTTATTTTATTTTGCTTCATATTTCATTAATGTGGTTAACATATCAAATCGTTATGGATATAACATATTTTTTCCCCCTTTTTTTCTAATAAATAACATGATGAAACTGTTATAATTTTTTTTTCCAATATTTTTAAATAATATTTACAATATTATGTAATTTAAATATTTAAATTGTTTAACATCTTTAATTAAAGAATAAAAGTAGATATAAAAATGTATAAATTTAATTTATTATAAATTGAAATTTAGTTTTATGTTCCTCTAGCGATTTTAATGCTACATATGTAAATAGAATATGTACATACGTGTAATTTTATATATATGTATGCAATTATATATATAGAAATTGCAATAAAATTATGTAAATAATTTATTGGTATATAAATATTGTATATAGTTATATATATATAAGTTTTTTAAACTATATACATATGGCTGGTGTATCTATACGAATGTGTTTATGTCTACTCAAATGAATATATATCTTCTCCAGTGGATACTTAATTGCTTTGCTGTACACGTATGAGTGATTATTTTAGTTGAAATTTTATAAAACAAATTAATAAATATCAAAAGTTTATACAAATAGAAAGATAAAATGTTTATTAGTAAAAGTATGTCTCAGATAATATTCGCAATAGAAAATTTAGTTTATTGATAGCTTTTTGTAGTTGAAATGAAAGGATATAAAGCTTTAAATACAACTTTAAATAACTCCTGTCTGTTGTCCTGTTCTGTCCGTCTATATCTTAATTTATATGCGTATTCATGTGTTATCTATCAGAGTTCTTCATCGTTGGTCAGTGTCACTTGCATCACTTCATTTGTCTACTGAATTTTCCTTTTCTCTATTATTAAATTTATTGTTTTACGTATAAATGAATATACATAATCCTGAATCCTGCATTCATTCTTCGTGCTTGTGTCCTGCGCATATAAAATAATGTATTGTATGAACTATTTTTCTTTAATTACATTAAGACCGAAAAGTTTTCGGAAATTCTCATTTAAAATTCGCGCGCTGTATATTTTTCGATATTTTAAGTTTTGTAGTTTGGCAGCACTGTCCTTAATTACTATGCCAAAAATGAGCGCGATCTGTCAGACAGTTCGTTTACGGCAGCTGTTGAAACCAGTTCACCTCAGTAGGGCGTTGCGAAAAAAACAATGGAAAAAAATATTGAACAAAGAGTTTGCATCAAATTTTGTGTTTCGAACGAAATTTCGTGTGCAGAATCGTTGCGAATGCTACAAAAGGCTTATGGGGAATCAGTTTTATCGAAAACTCAAGTTTATGAGTGGTACAAAGCCTTCCAGGACGGTCGTACGACCGTCGAAGACATTTCGCAACGCACTACTGAGGTGAACTGGTTTCAACAGCTGCCGTAAACGAACTGTCTGACAGATCGAGCTCATTTTTGGCATAGTAATTAAGGACAGTGCTGCCAAACTACATAAACTTAAAATATCGAAAAATATACAGCGCGCGAATTTTAAATGAGAATTTCCGAAAACTTTTCAGTCTTAATGTAAATTTTCTGATATGTGCAGCATTTTCTGGCTCTATCAGTATTCAGTAAATGCATCTGTAATATGTACATGCATGTGGATAATGGAAATGTTTGGCATATAATAAATTGCATAAATTCATTCTTATTATCAATATTTTCAAAATTTTAAATGATTTCTATTAAAGTTATTTAACCCAAACTAAATTGTAATTTAAAGTTCTAAGAGAAAAAAGTTAAATTTAATAAAATATAATATTTTTAGTTTAAATCAAGAGCCCAAATTAATTATATAAATCTTCTAAAGATTCTAAATAAGATTCTAACAAAATTTTCTCTATAATTGTTATCTGAATAAAGGTTGATCTAATTTAAAATAATATATCCTTATGTGTATTATTTAATGAAATAATGAAATATATGTTGCGGCGTATGCACCTTAATAGGTAGCATAAGATAATTAAGGATGTTTCGTGTGTGACACTTGAATCCACTCCCCTTCTCTCTCTTCTGATTACTGAAATGAAGTTTTTACAATGCTTTGGAAATCTTCTCCATTCATTCCTAAGAGGTGGTATAGTGGGTTTAAGTCTCAAAAGGTGGCTTTCGATTAAGGATCAGGAACATCCAAATTCATATTCTTACTTGAGAAGAAAACAACAGGCAAAGATTGAAATAAATTCGTTTATTTTTAAGAAAGTTATATACAAGCTATAATAAAGTACCTATAATTAACTCTTAAATATATCCAGTATATATATGTCACTAATTTCTAACTGCAACATTTAAGACACTAAATCTAGTCTTCTAGTGATTCTTTTTATGACTTCTTAATCTTTGGTCAACTTCTAACTACCCTATTTGTAACTGTGATTTCGTTAATAGATACTAGTGGACTCACAGTATTTTTAACCACTTTTATTAATTAATTGTTGTTAGTCAATAATATTTTATATAAAAAAAGAGCAATTGTAAAATTAAATATATAACTTTAAAAAACTATAATTTTTGAATTTAATTAATTAATATGCTAAAAACCTTTACTGATCTATATATTTCGTAGAAGCAGAGTACGATGATTCGTGGTGCAAAAGCCGATGCTAAGCCCAGGGGCCGCATGACAGCGTATGCCTATTTTGTACAAACATGCCGAGAAGAGCATAAGAAAAAGCATCCTGATGAGACCGTTATCTTTGCAGAGTTCTCAAGAAAGTGCGCTGAACGATGGAAGGTTAGTATTAATTTTGTTTTAATTATATTTTTATATATGTAATATATAATATACATATTACTATTAATATGGAATCTCTTTTCCACTAAAACTATTTATATGTAGAGAAGACTTAGATTACTGTCAAATATATAACTGCCTGCTGGTAAAGTCACTATTGGGAGTAGTGAACGATACTTGATTGTCTGGATGGGTTAGGTGATGGTAATGTGAGAGTGGAGAGAATTGTTTAGGATTATAAAAAGAGGTTTAGGATTATAAAAAGGAGTTTTTAGAAGGGGTTCTACTAAACATGATGCAATTGGGTGTCCAACTGTGTGGCACGCAAGAAAACATTGTTTGGAGAGTAGTTGGTTATGCTCTTTCACAAGAAGCATAACCAATATGCAAGATATGCATTTATATTATTGCATAATATGTGGGTTCCTGACTCCGCAACAAAAAATAGGTTTGCTCATGTTTAGTTTTGGCTATGCTCCCGCAATACTAAATAACAGACATTAGGGCATTACGTGCGAATTAATATAACCTATTCAAATAATATATAAGTCATTTAAGCTCTTAAAGTAAAACTCATATTTTACTAATTTTGTAATATAATATATTATATAGTTCCTTCTTGAAGCGATTTATCAGTTTCTATATAATATAGATTTATTAACTTCTGTAAAAATTTTGACCGTTGTTGTTGAAGGCGTGAGTGGCACTTTGTAGTCTAAGAGGACAAATTCCCCTAGAGAGTCGTAAATTCTATAGATCCATTAATTTAACAAATTAAGATCCCACTTCATTAATAAATCCACATTACCATTATCTGTATTGCAGTTATTTATGAGTAAAATATATTCTGTAAATTTAAAATAATTTTATTTAAGTTATGAATAATTTTTTTTAATTAGTCCCCATATATATTATTATCTTGTTTTAAAAATAAATAGATAAAAGGTGTTCACGTTATAAGAAAATTGCTCGAGTAGATGGAAAAAGGAACGCTTGAATTTTTATTAAATAATGAGTAAAATGCATTTTCTAACTGTGTATATAGAAGCACATCCCAAGCGTTCGCTGTTGCGGAAGTTCACTTTGGTCTTAGCATCACATTAGTAGGGAGTTGTATTTCAATGCAGACGTCAGATATGTCTGAGCAACCTTAACGCTAACGTATTCTAGGTGGGTAAAAGTGTTATGCCATGTAACGTTGTCCGTCGTCCGTCGTTGTCTCAATTTTAATGAAAACAAGAGAGCATGTCGTGTGCGGATTGAAAGCACTTATGACCGAAAGGCTTGGGTGGGCTGCTGCTGCTACTGCTGCATGTGTAAAGTGTCTCCTCGTTTGTTTTTAGTTAGGAGGTGCGAGAGAAGCACAAAGGGCAAGGAATAAATTATGCTGTGCACATATTGATTTTATAGAGCGCTGCTCTACGTTAGGTAATATAATTTTTCACACGGCTTGACTATTGACCAGTAAACTGGAAAACTGTGTGATGATAAATTATGAATTTGTTGAAGAAATATATCCGCATGTTAGTAAAAATTCATTTCTCTGATTATAATCATGTTTCATTTAACCAATTTATATTTTATAATAACTTGGCGTTCCAACATTTCGTGAATCGCTCGTGTGCAAAAGCAATTTACTAGGTGTGGTACTTTTTGTGGTATGGTCGGGTGTTTTATTTCATTTTTTTTCCAAGTTAGCAATATACAGAAAAGCAAAATATTGGTGGTGGCATGCACATTGCCTTTACTCTTATGTATTTGCTAACATACAAGGTTGGGGGTTGCTGGTGGCGATAACACCACCTAGTATGGTTTGGTTTGGGGTGGTTTTACTTCGTTTAAAAATCAATGGCAAAAACATGTTCAGCGTACGGGTATGTGTGGCTGGCCCCCTGTACCTTATTCATTCTCTCTGTTTCTGCTGTTTTAAAATAATTTTCAATCGTTGGGTAGCGAAACTAAGACTGATGATATTACTTCTTGCTTCGCCCCTGCCATTTTAATTTCGTATTTCTATTAGGTTCCGCATAAATTACACCAGTAGTGTTGTTTTCATTTGGTTCTATGTGCTGTAACGCAAGTACACACTCATCTTCTGTAAATTCTCTTTCCAAATTAAATAAGATGTGAATATGGAAGTCAGAAATTAGTTTGTGAGTAAAGTGTATTGGGTTTATGTCGATGTCGATGTAGGCAGTAGGATTAGGGGAGGGATTTATATAATATATTACACTTTTGGGTATTTAAAATTATTTAAATTTAAATTTATTAATTAAAAATTCTACTTTACGCAATAATTATTTCTTCCTTTGTATTAACAATATCTATATTTTATCAAGTATAGATATTAAAGAATTACAAAATATTTTTTAAAATTTTTATTATATATAGTTACGCGTAATATTTCTCTATAAAAGTATATATGTAAACCTTGGTAAACTAACATGGATTCTTAAAATATTTTATATAATATTATTGAGATGTTGAAGTAGTGATAGAGGATTGCAAAATGAAGAATATGAGTTGGTGTGTGTAGTTGCAGATAATTTTATAGTAAAATATGTATATAAGGGGGAGAACCAATATTCAGGCGAAATTTTAAATTAAAACATGATCATTAAATTTGGGTAGAAGAAAGATAAATACTTAATTCCTATTAATAAATTAACCAAACTAATTCATATATATATAGAATTATTATTAAATGGTTTTGACTTTTATCGTGATATTAATTTAACATTATTTTATCCCTGCCTTTACCAGCCACAGACAAAATTTAATTTATAACCATTTTCTTGCAATAGGCAAGTAGTAAGCGTGCTTATACTTTGTCACCAGTCAAGTCAAAAGCAACATGGACCCATTTACTCCAAATGTATAACCCATTTGGTACACAGTAGTAAATTAGTAGTGTTTAGGTTAATATCTGCATTAACACTAAACAGCATGAAGCCAGATTCGACCTGTCCTGTCGTATCTGCTGTAGCATATGTCTACAGCTCCAAGAAAAAACACCTGTTGTGTCTACTTTCAGCTTTGTCTGCAATCAGGCTTAAGCTACTGGGCGCCCCATTTTTTAATACACATGGCTATATTTCTAACAATAATATTAGTATTTCTCTCAATGTATCTGGTTGGTGCTAGTATACCCATTCTTCTACCCACTGTTACGAGAAATGTGGAATCAAAATGGCTTTCTGAGCTTATTAAGGAGAATTCATTCCTATCTTCACTTCATCTACCTACCTTCTTCTGTTATATAGGTAAGGGAGTGTATATGTATAATTTATTAAAATAATTGAAATTTATGAAAATATTTTTCTATAAAACCAATTTCACAAAAACAAAAATAAATAGAAACATCTTGACCCTTAAAATAGATTTTTAGAACTTGTTTTTAAATCTACATCAGAATTTGTAATATCAATGGACATGCCCTTGAAATGTTATAAACAAATGTCTAAATTTATAGCACTGTTCGTATTTATCATGTCAATATTTAATCCGATGTTTATTTAACCAGTACTGGATTCCTTTATTTTATTAATTCCATTGATGTTATTGTTTTATATTGCTTGCTGTAATGTATGTATGCTTGCATTCACAATTATGAATGTAAGTAAATATCGAACTTTTTGATTTATCTCTTATAAATTTTAAAAAATTGTTTAACCTTTGTATAAACAATTATTTTCAATGCTTGATTGAATTAAATTTCTTATATTTTTCTAAACTAATCTATAAATTCTTTTGTTTTTAGACAATGGTTGATAAGGAAAAGAAACGTTTCCACGAGATGGCAGAAAAGGACAAACAAAGATATGAATTAGAAATGCAAAATTATGTACCACCTAAAGGCACCGTAGTTGGACGTGGCAAGAAGAGGAAACAAATTAAAGATCCTAATGCACCAAAACGTTCATTGTGAGTTCGTAGCAAACAATAAGTTTTTTTAATATAATTAAAAATCAATTTCATATTTAATAAAACAATTTTTTCTGGTTTCATTTTTAGGTCCGCATTCTTTTGGTTTTGTAATGATGAACGCAATAAAGTTAAAGCTTTAAATCCAGAATATGGTGTCGGTGATATTGCTAAAGAACTAGGACGCAAGTGGTCCGATGTTGATCCCGAAGTGAAACAGAAATATGAATTAATGGCAGAGAAGGACAAAGCCCGTTATGAAAGAGTAAGTATCATTTAATATCTATGATTATAGTTTTCAAATTAAATAAAAAAAAACAAAATTAATAATTAAGTACATTAAGTTCCATTAACACAATGGTTCAAAGGGGGTTGGTTGAATGATTTCGTGGTCCTCTGGAATCATGTGATTCAAATTTCATTAGAAATTTCCTATATAAACACAATAAATAGATTTTGGTTAAATATTAGCACCATCTTTCAGTTTTTCATTCAAAATTAAAATCTTGCTAAGGTCTAGCGATAGTAGATACTATGTTAGGCTGAGAATTCAGTCATAAATATTCTACAAATTGTGAAGATGAGAATGAGGAAGACATCTCTTTCGTAACTGCTTAATTTAAGCCATGAGCAGATTGAATATATATTTTTAGATATGTTTTTAGTCAAATATAGCTAGCTCTCTCACGGATGTGTTCAGTGCTAAGATAAAGAACTATCTCCGCTTTGTAAAGCTTTCATAACTAGTTAACAGTTAATGTTCCGTGTTAAGTAGTGGTATTACAATTTATATACCTTAAGCTGTAAGTCAGTTGTCAATTGAACTGATCATTTGACATTCATATAATTTAACCTCGATATTTCCAGAATTAAGCTATAAAGAAAAGATGAATATCAGTTCAAAATAGCTTAAACTATTTAATAAATTTGTTGTTAAAACGGCATGATTATGAAATCAAAATATCGCCAGTGTTCTTGTTTTATACATTTATGTATATATTAATACCTCTGGCTTTTCTTTATACGGTAACGCAATGGTTCAAAAGGCCTAAGTGGATCGTTGGCGTAATTTAACCTAACCAAAATATCTATATTAATATGTTTATTTTTTTATTTTAGGAAATGACCGAATATAAGACCAGCGGGAAAATTCCAATGTCTGCACCTTCCATGCAAGCTCAAGTGCAGAAGAATGCGTTACTGGCAGCTGCAGCGCAACAACAACAGCAACAGCAGCAGCAACAACAGCATCATGAAGAACATGATGATGATGATGGCGACGGGGACGATGATGAGAATCAGTAGATTTAAGTCCACATTTTCCAGAATTAATAGAGAGTGTGCGTGCGAGAGTGCATAATTTTTAATCATATATTGTGAAAAATACTTTATACAAAAATAATCAAATAAGTTACATATATATTTATGTAAACATAGTTATAAAATTTGCTAAAAGTTCAGTTATAACGACGACAGATGAAACAGGATAAAACTCAATAATTTTACATATGTAATTCATCATAAATCACACATGAAATTACACATGCACATATATGACACATATTTTCTTTATAATTTTGTAATATATTGTTTGAATTAGGATTTTTATTTTAATAATAGAGATAAATAACGCATAGTTATATCTATAAAAATGAAAATATTTTTTCGTATTATTTTTTTTTATCACTTTCCTCATAATAAAAAAATACAATAAAATAAATATATTTGTTTACTTTTAAAGAAAAAAAAAATTCAATATTAAATTACATTTAAAAAAGTTTTTACTTAGTTTTTGTTTAATGACAAAATCTTAAAGAAAAGACAATTTTCTAATGTTATAACATAGTGTTTTATATACTTTTGAGATTATTTGAATAGAAAAAATAAATCACTTCCAAAAAAAAAAAATGAATAAGTAATTAAAAAAAAATCCCTCATACAATTAGTTTAAGTACAAGTTTTTAGATATTTTTTTATGTTCTTTAACAAATAATAATTATAGGTTATTTTCACTAAAAAACAAAAAGAAAAGACTTGTTTTAATTTAACTCATTTTCACAATTCAAATATTTTATGCGTTATAAAATAAATATTTTACACTGGTGATTAAAAATAAATCATTGTAAATAGTTACACTCAAAACCAATTAATGTACATAGACCATTAAAATAAATAATAAACAAAATTATTGCGAAATAAAGCAACAAAATCAAATAAATTATTAAAAATAAAATGTATTTGTACAATTGAAAATATGTATACATACTTCTTTGTTATATATTATTATATAACATATAAAATATTATATATATATACATATGTATTGTTTTTCTTTATGTTGAAATGAATATGAAGATAATTAAATGAAAAATTTGTTGTCTTTTATGTGTAAGAATCAACATATTTGAATTTTTTTAAAATTGTATATATTTTAGCATTTAAAGAAAAAAATTTAAGAAAGAACAATTGAAATTTTTCTATAATTTTACTTTAAATTTAATATAACTGTATAAACAATTCTTTTTATAGAGGCTTAATTAAATTTATAATTAAGGAGAATATGTATAATTTGTTTGTTTAAATGAATTAAAAATTAAACTTAACATTACGTATCCTTCTTTATAAATATATTAAATCAACAAAAGCTTCATTTAACATTAGCATAAAATGTTGATTATATATATATTTATATATATATGTATGTTTATAAATTTCATTTGTTCTTTTGTTTTTATTAAGTTATACACTATTTTCACTTGTACATTTTGACATTTTAAAGCAAAAGGCATAATTTCATTCTTATATAAAAAATACAAACCAGTTCAGGCTCGACAGATTCCTATTAAAGTTAGCAGAAAGAAATATATTGAATAAAAATACAAATAATACAAATAATCATTCAAAAATTACTAGTAGGATTATAGATATATATTCATAAAGATACATACACTCATTAGTAGGGAAACTAAGAAGTAAAAACTTGTGTAAAAATATTATAAATGAAAAGTTAAAAGAATTTGTAAAAATTATTTAAAAAGAGTTCAAAAGTTTTAAGTGTGGTATTTAGAATTTCTGTCGTACATATAAAAATGTATAAAAAATTGTATTTTTACATATAATATATATGAGAACAACCAATTTATTTAATAATTTGGCCTTAAAGAAAGAAATGCATAAGCAATTTTTTAAAGCAGCTTTTTTTTGAGCTGTGCAAGTTCCGCTTAATTCAAGTAAATTTAACTGCAATATAAACACCAATAAAATAAAATAAAATAAAATCAAATAAAATAAAGTTGACATTTTTCATATTCATTGATCATCACTCATTGTCGTCACACGCCTCTCATTTGCCGCTATAATAATTTGCATTGGAACAATAATAATTTAATTATATTTCTTAATTTGTAATTCATTTTTTGATTTTTTTTTTGATTAAGTATCCAAAATAATGAATTAGTTGTGTAGTTTATTTTAAAAAATGAATAAAAACAAAAAAAATTGTTTGTTGATTTTTTATATATATTATGTAATAATAATTACTTTTTAATTTAATTAAAGTTAAATGAAATTATTAATATAACAACTTAATCCAATAGTTATAATAAAAATTCAAAAATAAAATTTCCCATTATAAGATATAAAGTTTAGGCTTATACAGTTAGTTTAATTATTATTAATATAAATATTAAAATTAATATACATATATATTAAATTTTAGTAATTAAACAAAATAATAAAAAAGAAGAAAAAAATGCTGACAAAATTAAACAAGAAACAAACGTACACTAACGTGCGATATTTTTAGTATTTAAAATAGAAAAAGAATGAAAATATTAAAACTTGTATGAAAGAAATGTAATATTGTCATCATTTATAATATATGATTTTAGAGTTAAAAGTAAACAAAAAAAATAATAAACAAAAAATAACTAAAAAGTATTAAAACATGAGTTTTCTTTTGTTAATATATTTATTTATTTTATTTTTTTTTAGAATTATATATAGTACATAGCAGTATTAGCCTTATTTATTATTTCATTTTTAAATTTGTTGTATTGCAATGAAATTTATAAAATTGTATAATTATATATATAAAGCTTACAGCTAATAGAACTTTGCTATATTGCCAATTTTGCCATAGACTTGTTTAAACTGTACATACACACTTTATATAAATGATTGCTAAAAATATGATTCGTGAGAGCAGAAACATATACGAAATTCGACCATAGCGAGCCGTTCAAATATTGCTAAACGATATATTGTGGTCATGCATTTGCTGCAATGTAAAGCAGATTTGCTAAGATTTACCGGAGAGGTACCTCTCTTCAAACATTTGAAGTGTACGATATGGGTTTTACTCAAGCTGATTAAAAACTTTGAAGTATTCTTATTTTTTAGCTACTATAAGAAGCCCAGCTACAATATACTTCATACTTATTTGGCTATTACAGACGAGACTCGTCCTCAGCCGCGTCCAGTAGTCTCCGCCAAGCAGTCCGATCAGTGGCTTGCTGTCATCAGTTAGTAGCATCGATTTTTTTCGTACCATTGGTCAGCTGGTCCTTCTACCGAAGTTGCGTCTACCGTGTTTTCCACGAGCGGGTATTGAATCAAATACCTTTCTAGTCAGAGCAATTCATTTCATTATTACCCAATCAAAATAAATAAAGTTAAACCTTGATAAGGGAAACATAATCTTATTAATGGTAATGTCATTAATGGTAAGAATATGGCACAAATTTCAGCGTGGCCAAAGCACATTTGAGATAAAAGGTAAGCAAGGGAAAGTCACAGCAACTCTTCTGTATTACCTCCTAAATACGCATTCAAAGCTTTCCATTTACTTGAGAGACCTGTTGTGAAAGAATATTATTACGTCTATATGAAGATAGGCATTCAAAGCTTGACCTGAAAGTCCTGCTGCACAAAAGTATTATTAAACCTAAATGGACATAGACCATCAAAGCTTGACCCAAAAGTTCTGTTATACAGGAGTATTACTGAACCGCATATCTCTCTAACAGAAGAGAAAATGTAGAGAGCACTCAGCATATTCGAATATACTATGAATGCTAATCGGTGCATCATGGTACAACAAAGACATAAATACCTATAAATATCTAAATATACTGCAGATGAAAGAAAAAATTCGAAACCATTTGTAAAAATAAGTTATACGCCTAGCTCATATCCCTAATGCTATAGCACAGAAGTTTTTACCGATGCAAGCTGTGAAGCGCTTTAAAGCTAATCTATAAATATCTTCTATTATTTCATTGGAAAGGTGTCAACCATCAATGGTTGGGAGCAGTTACGTCTTTCAATATCAATATGTCAACCAAAAAAAAACTTTATCTGCTTTTTTCCATTAAATTCATTATTCAATAAGTTTACTAGAATTAGTTTAGAATTACGCGAATTATAATATATCATTATCCTCTCTCTCGTATATACTCGTATTACAATCGGAAAAAACAAAATTTCCAGTACTTTAAAATTTTGTCTCTACTAGAGATATTGAATCTTTTCGCTTCTACACCTACCATAGAATGACCTGTAAGGAGGGGCATCTGCGGAATTACACTACATTATAATAAACTTAGAAGAGTACATTATCTTTTATGTCGCATATTTTGCTTTGATATGTGACGCAAATGAGCAAAGCCCATTTTACTCTTAGGTTAAGATGACTTTGTTGCTATAAGAAGATCCATATGCATTCATTGACGAATATTCTATAGAAATATAATAGAATTTCTTTAGAAACTCTATGATATAGAGTGATGCAGTGACGAAGAAAAGATAAAACTACTTTAAATAGAATAAAATCCATAAGCATGATGATTTTTAACACCGCTAAGGATTTTCGTTTCGAAGGAATAAAAGCAAAAACACTATATTTTCTTCAAAACTGTACAATGCCTATAGAATTGATATACTTAAAACTATGATAGAGCCAACAATGTTGTCATTGCATGCAGATAATATATACAACCTATATTCCGATTAAAAAATGCCAAAATTTTAAATACTTCATAGAGCATAAGTTAACATAGAATAAGCTAGCAAAAGCTAGCTAGCTTC